GCTAAATTGTAAGGGATCCAAAGTTCGGAGACTAAAATGTAAATACTTAAAAGTTGTGCCGAACCTCACGATGAAAATTTGAGAATGCTCGGAGTCAATTGGATAAAAGAAGATATCAATAGAATCAAATTTATTCAAAAGATGATCACAAATCAATTTCCAACCGAAAAGTTTTGCTCCGATGTTTTAGTCTCATATTGAGACCTATTTTTGGCATCGAAAGTGATCGAATTGGAGAATGATGTCTGAATCAAAGTTGTAGCCAGATGTGTTGGCTTTCCAACGCATTTTGAATCACCTCAATCGGATATCAGAATACAAAGTTATGATAAAAATACTGAAAGAAGGTGTGGCTGCATGTTTAAAATAAGAAATTCTGCTACATAGTCCGTTAAAACAACAAATTCCATTAGTTTTACCGTTAAAAATAAGAAATTCCGTTACATAGCCACTTTTAATATATAAAATATATATAGACAAAGGAGAGAGAAAAAAACGTGGAGAAAGGAAAACATAGAAGAAAATTGCGACAGGAAAGAAAGAGAGAAAAAAGAGGAAAGGAAAGGGAAAAAAGAAAAGAACAAAAAAAGAGAAGAGATAGAAGGTAGCAAAGGAAAAGGGAAAAAAGAAGAAAGAAGAGAGAAAGAAAAAGAAAAAAAATGCTGAAAGGTAAGAGAAAGAAAAAAAAACGTAAAGAGAAGATGAGAGAAAAGAAGAAGTGAAAAAAGGAGAAAAGAGAAAGAAGACGGCAGACACGAGAAATTTCACGTTTCTTTAATTTTTGATGATATCGTTCCATATTTGCGCGTTTTTATTTTTAAAGTATGAATAATTAATTTTTATATTAGGAAAAATAATGTAGTCGACTTGTGATCCTTTATTTTTCTATTCAAGATTTATGTGATTTATTTATATATGTGTTGATTTTATTATGAGTTTAATACATTAAATTACCTGATCAATAATTTGATAATTATGTGAATCTCTTACGAATCGATAGGTGAGTTTGAGATTTAGATTATATAGAAAAATTCGGTAAATTAGTATAACAGGTAGAGATACCTATACTAATTATTGCGGTCATAATATGAATTCTTATAACTAGTGTTTCGTTTAACTAAAATTAATTCACATAAAGATATGAAATTTAATTAATGAAATATGTTCAATAAGAACTCGAGATGGGTAAATTGAATACAATAGAAAAATTTGATCGAACACTATATTAGGTTATGAATCTTGAATTAAAAATTAAGGTGATCAATAGATGAAATTGTTATGCCCTTAATATTCATCACACATTTGGATTTTCAATTATCCGTTAATTGCAATGTTTTTATATTTTTAATTAGTTAAAAGTAATTAGGAAGAATAATCACAACTATCGTAATTATTTACTTGTTTTTATCAAATAAGAGTTAGAAAATTTTGATTAAGTCCTGAAGTATAGCTTTTCGTGGGAAGGATATTCGGATTCAAATGTCCACTATGCTGCTTGTTACGATATCGTACACTTGCGATATAAAAAACGCAACAAGTTTTTGATGCCGTTGTCGATGACTATTTATTTTTAACAATTGTCTGATTTTTTTATTTTCTTTTATTTACAGAAAAATTTGAAAATTTTGATTGAGTCCTAAAGGATAGCTTTTCGTGGGAACGATATTCGGATTCAAAAGTCCACTATACTGCTTGTTACGATATCGTACACTTGCGATATAAAAAATGCAACATACGAATAGAAAATATATTAATGATCTTGAGAAAATTATCAATAAATATGTGTTTATTGTAGTTTAATCTCAATAGTTATTTCAACACTTCCTCCACGATCAATTTAATCTCCACATAAGGTATTTGATATAGATGTTCGACACGACTCGTTGGATGATAACAGTTAAGAGAATTTGTGAGTTTATCTAGGAAATGCAACTTATTGGTATTATTACATTCTTAGCATCAAATGAACCTTCACATCTTTCATGTTTATTGCATCATAGGACCAACATCAATCAATTTGTTGAAACTCCGGAAGGAATTCTTGTAGCATGAGGTATATCATGCATCGATTATATTTACATTGTACTATGCATCTACGACAAATTATTTTCTTTTCTTTTCTTTTCTTTTTTCAAGTCAGGCCTAGCCTACTCAGTTCCGTTATCTTTTAGTATTAATAAAACGTGCCACTTAGGTCGATTTATCCAAAAGTAAAAATAAAAATTGATTTCTAATATTTGATAAATATTGATAAAATATGTCGTTGAAACATTGTGAATCATACGAAATTTATGTTTACAATTAATTGTCGATTTTGACTTTAATATTAATATATGGTTTAATGTGCACTAGACGGGGCACATTACTAAATTCTAGAGTAATTAACAACGTTTTTATTATGCAAAAGAACATATGATCCCATCATCGTGAGTCAAAGATGAAGAAGACATCTCAATGATTTCCCCTCAATAAGCAGCTGGAAAGCATCGTTAATCTTCTCAAATGGCAGTTCGTGAGAGATGAACTCATCCAATTTAACCACCTGAAACTAGAACTACTAAGTATCCTATGATATATATATATATACACATAATCAACTCAAAAAAGTACGACCAAAAATCACATGGAATTTGAATGGTAGTGAAAAACTCACCCCATCCATGCATTGTTTAGCAAAATCAGGAAGTTGGGACTTGCCCTTGAAGTCACCAAAGGTTGATGCCACGATTTTTCGGCCATCGAAAAGCTCCATTGGATGTAAAGGGAGGAGTCTTGGGGATGGGTGAACCCCTAAAACTACTGTCAATCCCCAACCCTGCGATAACAAGCGTGGATCTGGATATAGTAAGCAAGAGTACGACAAGAGGGGACTCGTTAATATATTACACTTATATGACTTATTTGATAAGATGGACTATATTAAATCGTGTCTAATACAATGTACTTTGAGATGTACATGAACAGCTTTGAAAATCATAATCTTACATCGTGGCTGGATAGAAAGGCTTCCCGTAGCACGTCTAAGTTCCCTGCACACTCAAAGCTATAGTCCACTCCTCCTTCTATAACGTCTTTGACTTTCTGCATCCACCATATTTACTCATTAATGTCAACGAAAATTCAAATGCAGTAGCTTCAATTTGCTGGAAATGGACATTCTTACATATGCTGTGAGCTATATATCTGCAGAAACTTGAAAAAGAAAGTGCAAAAAGTAAAATCAAGTTGTCTGATTTGTTAATGAAATACAAATGCTAACCTCATGCACCGGCTTATCTATAAGCTTTGGGTTTATGAAATCAGTGAGCCCAATTTTTTGACCTGTTCATAATGACATAGAATTACTATTGACCTAACTATATGTACAGTGAATATAGAAAAATTAGTGGTCATGGTGAAACAAAATCTATTTGGATGACCATGATGAAACAAAATCAAATTGGATGATGTTAGGGAATTATTGAGAGCAATTACCCAAGGCCCAAGCCCACACCCCCAGGCCCAAGTGAGGTTCCATCCCAAAACCAATTGGTAATGGGTGGAGTAGCCCACTTGGGTTATATGGTGGATTTATTTTCTTCCCACAACCGATGTGGGACTTGTTTGCCCCAACAGATGATCATAGTGACACTAAGTATAAAGTTAGGTAGTCATTGGTAGATTTAATCCTATACCTTTGGCAAGCTTATCAGGGTTGACATCTATTCCTATTATCTTAGAGGCTCCCACGGCTCGTGCACCTTCCACAACCTGCAAAATATTGATTCATGTCAAACGGGACTTTTTGCATCTCATGTTCAACAATGTGTCAATATTTCGAAAATGAGTTTTGCTGTTCGTCTAAGGCCACATGGGCCCTGGACATGCGCCCCTAATGGTTGGGAAATTGACTGTACAACTTTGGGTAGCTAGGTATAGAGAAATCGTGATGGAAAACATTAATTATAAGGAGACTTTTAGAGAAGAATGACGCGTGGTATTGAACCGTTGGCATCAACATTTTATAGATTCTATTAATTAGATCATAAATTATTGTATTTAATTGAACCTGTAACTTAGCTCTTATTTGGTTCCTCTTATTTTCAAAATATATTTTTCTATTTCTTATTTTTAACTAAAAATTTTTCAACAAAATAATATTACACTCAAACCTAAAACTCTAATTATTTTTTAACCACACATTTCCATCAATTCACTGTTTCAAAATGCATTTTTGACAAGAAAATATAGCTCAAACATTCTCTTAATGTCACAAATGTTATCATCTATATGGTGTTCAATATCAATGATACTAAATAATATTACTCGAAAGAGATACATAGCTTAGGTAGGGCTCAATAAACCGCCAATCGTCATAAGATCAAGATTAGGCAGCATGAGAGATGCTCAGTGTATAGAAAAAATATATGCAGACAACCTACAGATTACACACAAGGAGTGGTGCCCATTTTTTGGGACAATATTTAATTCACATGGGGCAGGGCCCCATGCACAAACATCATTTTCCAGGCATCATTAAATGTAGTTGTTTGTTACCACCAATCTCCTGTCCCGAACAATCACATTACTTTAATTTCATTTCTGCAAAATTATTGAGTCTAGATCTGGCATCCATAAAGTTTAATCAAAGGCATGCATTAGATGAATCTGGAAGGTCATATCTTCACTTCAAAATTTTGTATTTTTTACTTTATATTTTTCTAGTATCAATTAAAAAATATATTTGTTTTATTTTCTGGAGTAACAGTAGACTCACCGCCAACCCCACAGCGCCTAGACCAAAAACGGCTACACTCGAACCGGGCTTCACTTTGGCAGTATTCCATACGGCTCCAACACCTGCAACACGAGTTCTTTCATTCATTTTTCCTTTTTAATAATGAGTCTCTAAGTCTCCAGCTATATAATAAAGGTGAAAAAAGAGGAATTAAATACCAGTAGAAATGCAACAGCTGAGCAAAGCCATTCTGTTGAGGGGAGCTTTTGGGTCAATCTTGACAACACAGGCAGAATCAAGCACAGTGTACTCGCTGAAAGTTGAGGTGTTAAGAAAATGGAATATGGGCTTGCCATCTTTGGTAGAAAACCTACATTTTCCATCATTCACCATAACGCTCTTGAAGGGATTTACACGAAATTTTCCGCATAAATTTGTATTTTCTGATTTGCAGTAGACACAATGACCACACTCTCCATTAAATATGGGAATGACATGATCTCCAGCTTTCAAGTCCGTGACTCCTTCCCCCACGCTCTCAACAACCCTGTCACCGGGAAGGAGGAATGGAGGAGGTAAAGCATATACTTGTTGAGGACAAAATATAAACAAATAGATACCTTTCACTGTTTAATAGTTTAAGCTTCTTACCCAGAGGCCTCATGGCCTAGAATTCGAGGGTACGCTTTCTGGGCTTCATTCTTCAATGACGTGAATGTTTAGAATTGTGAAAAGTTAAAATATTTACACAATGAAGTACGCACGTAAATGTCTATATGTATCTTTACACAATACACTGTCATACCCTGCCTTGCCAAGCGCCAAGATCCGTGTGGCAAATAGAAGTGAAAAGGATCTTGATTCGAACCTCCATTTTCTGAGGAGGATCAACCACAATTTCTTCTATGACCAAGGACTCACCAGGACCATAGGCCACAGCAGCTGCATAAGAGTGTGCATGCATGAAAAATATGCAACTTTATTCAGTGAAAAAAAAAAAAACAAAAGAAAAAATCTATTCTTGGCCATGATCGATGAATTAAGATTTGCATGCATGGCGAAATTCAATACCTTTGCAAGTAATCTTTCGAACGATTTTAGAACTTTCCATGGCGAAAGAACCTTCGCTGCAAGAAAAGGGTAATGAAGTCGTAAAAAATTGCCTTAGGAACTTGAATTGAATCCTTAATTTACATGGATGGAAAATGGTGTGAATGGTGCAGAGCATGTAAAGCAATTTATAGATTTTGAAGGTCGCCAGTCAGTCATATACATTTTAGGAAATCCAACGGTTTGCCTAAATATTTATGAGGTTAGGAAAACTAACAATTTTTCTACTTAATGACTAAATATTTAGGAGGTTAGGAAAATCAACGATTTTTCTATTTAATGACAACATATTTAATTCAATTATATTAGCTATTTAATAAATGTGAGCTAATTGAGTAGATATCAATATTATTATAATTAGGGGATTATGAGAACTCTAATTAAGCAATATATAAACACCTCTTTGATTATGGTCCCCAATATGCCTAATTATACATAGTTTCCCTTCTCCCCATATGGAAGAGAGACGAAGGTTCCGTTGAGGAAATAAGACGATTTGGTTGAGGAAGATCACAAACCACACACCTTCGTTCGTGTTCATCAGTATGTGATCGATTGTTGTAGTAATTCTGCAACAGTAAACAATCTTTCATAATGGATCCATGTATATAACCTGAATCCGTGAATCCTAATATTCTGGTATGATGTAGATTCTAGGCTTTTGATTATTTTAATCTAGGATGTTTGCATCTAAATTTTGTTTCGATTTTAGATATGATTTATATTTCTAATAATACAAAGTTACAAATAGAACTTTCAAATGTGTAGATTAAATTTACTTTTCTAGAATTTTTTGATAGAAAATTCATGACTATACTATTACAATCAATCTATTTTAGAACTTCTTTTTCGATAGACACCATGATCAATTCATTCAATATTTTTTATGATATTGTTGACCAAAAGTATGATTTTATCAGTTATAATCTATAAACAACTCACGCATTTGAAAAACGACTGTCATTTTTATATAGTCTAAAACTTTAATCGCACTTTTGGAGTCTTCTAGTAAACAATTTCTAATAATTTGCTGCTCAGAAAACAAATTTGTACTTAACAATATCATAATTCTTCTTATGCTTACTTTTCTTTTCAAGCTTATGACATCATCACTTCAAATAATTATCATTTACAGTTTGCATTTTTTTAAATCAAAAAGAAACTCAAAAGTATTTTCATATTTTTAAAATTGTTGAAACATTAACCTAGATAAATAAAGAGCTTAATCAATTATAAATAATAAATAATACACTAAAGATTTTTCGGGATAATGCTTTATCCCATTATTAACATTTTGATCAAAGTGCTTCTTTTTATGGAGAGTACATGAAATGTACATTTCCACTTGAGCAACAATTTCTTTCGAAGTAATCTTGTCATAACGAATTTCAGTTTCTCGATATGTTTCGAAAATGAAATAAGTGATTTCAAGTTATTATTATATAGTAGCATCAATAGAAATATCTTCATTCTGTAACATCTTTCATACTCTATTAATAGCAGACAATATATTGTACCAAATAATTATACCAAACAAAAACTCAAAATTTATAATGTTAGAAGATAAATTTTTGGCATTTCTAAATACCTTAGCATCATCACATTGTTTCCATTAAGTGTTTTAAAGAGATTTTTATATTTAACACTTTCACCTTAGCATTCTTGATGTATTTGTGATAGTGGCTTAACTTCTAGATCTTTCACATTATCATGAAAAAAATTCCATTTTTTTGAAGAAGATGAAAATTATATATTTAGCTTTTACACAAAATTAGCCATATCACAAAGTGTAACACTGTAAAACCTTTTTTTTTTTAGAAAATTTCTTTATTATTTATAATTATATACATAATAAATTTTTTTTTTAGACCCTTACCAAAGTGGGGTCTTAGGCGATCGCTTACTTTGCCTATAATTAAGCCCTATGTTCTAGTCAGAATTTCATAATTGACATTCTGTTTACACTTTCATCAGAATTTGAATTAATTCTTTATTTGTTTCAAAGAAAAAACGACGTCTTACTTTAAACCTTTTATTTATATATTTTTTAAAATAGTAGTCGTGAAATAATTTGTTATTGAAATATTCGAGATTAAATTTTGAAAAGTAAAAAAAAAAAAAAAAATTAAAATCTGACTTAATTTTAAGTATGTTTGGCCAGTGTTCACAAGTAAATACTTGCTAAAAGTCAAACAATTTTTTATCCACATATTTCGAGAAATTTATGTATATTATCTTTGTCCATCACTCATTTTTATCTATTTAGAAAATATAAACACTTTCGAAAAGTAGGTTTAGTTACTGATTGGTATAGTTTCTCTAAAATTCATTCTTTCCAACGCATATTCAACCACACAATGTTAAATAAAATAATTTTGTAAGTGGACTTGTAAAGTTTCTCTATCTTTTAATCATATATTCTTCAAAAAGTCATTTTTATAAAATTTATTCTCAAAATATCTACATCAAATAGGTCTTAGAAAAAAATAAATAAAATCATTTTCGCACTTTGAGATGAAAAGGATAGAATGGAGATAGTTGGGGATTTAGAACATGTGAATCATTAATACTGGACGAAAAGCAGAAAGTTTCTTTAGGGGTGGAGGCAGCCAGGCAGGGGCAATTACTCTTCGTAAATAATCCTGCAAAATAATGGGGTGGGGTCGGGTGCGGTGGGGTGGGGACATAAATAGATAGAGACGTTAGGAAACCGATAATATAAACAATGACGAAATTAAGGGCTTGTTGGGGTGGGGACATAAATAGATAGAGACGTTAGGAAACCGATAATATAAACAATGACGAAATTAAGGGCTTGTTTGGCACCCATTCTTTTGAAGAATGAGTTTTTGAATAGTGATTGATGTAAAGAATGTGTGGTTAAAAAGTAAGAAGAATTTTTGGGTTTATGTGTAATATTATTTTATTTGGAGAATATGTGATATTATTTGTTTCAAAGAAAAAACGACATCTTACTTTAAACCTTTTATTTATATTTTTCAAAAATAGTAGTCGTGAAATAATTTTTTATTGAAATATTTGAGATTAAATTTTGAGAAGCAAAAAAAAAAAAAAAATTAAAATATGACTTAATTTTAAGTATGTTTGGCGAGTGTTCACAAGTAAATACTTGCTAAAAGTCAAACAACTTTTTATCCACATATTTCGAGAAATTTATGTATATTATCTTTGTCCACCACTCATTTTTATTTATTTAGAAAATATAAACATTTTCGAAAAGTAGGTTTAGTTACTGATTGGTACAGTTTCTCTAAAATTCATTTTTTCAAACGCATTTTCAACCACACAATGTTAAATAAAATAATTTTGTAAGTAGACTTGTAAAGTTTCCCTATCTTTTAATCATATATTCTTCAAAAGGTCATTTTTATAAAATTTATTCTCAAAATATCTACATCAAATAGGTCTTTAAAAAAAAAAAAAAAATCATTTTCGCACTTTGAGATGAAAAGGATATAATGGAGATAGTTGGGGATTTAGAACATGTGAATCATTAATACTGGACGAAAAGCAGAAAGTTTCTTTAGGGGAGGAGGCAGCCAGGCATGGGCAATTACTCTTCGTAAATAATCCTGCAAAATAATGGGGTGGGTGGGTGGGGTGGGGACATAAATAGATAGAGACGTTAGGAAACCGGTAATATAAACAATGACGAAATTAAAGATAAATCAATTTATGCTAGTGCCTAAACATATAAGATAATTGAAAGTAATTTAGGAATCAACCATGAAAACTTAGCTTAAAAGTGGTCGGTTGAAACGCGATATATCGCCGTCTAAGACTGATTTCGCCAACTCAGGATATTTAATCCTCCGGTACCACATGTCTAGGCGGTCGGCCTCCAAGATTTGATAACCGATGAAATGTGGCTAAGAATGCACACACAATAATAGGTAAGGCGAACATTTTTATGCACCCAACTCAAAGCTCTACATATAAAGTATATGAAATATAGAAAAGACAAGTGTTAAGAGATATATATTTTCTCGTACGAAGACTTTTATCACTTCACTACAATATAAATGAGTCTAAGAGAAGCTTGAACACGTGTCAAACGATGGATATCGTCAACCTCCAATTTATTTCAATTTTTTTGAACTCTTTCAAAAATGGAGGAAGGTGAGGACATTCTCCTTTCAGTACCCATTTATCCTCTTTCTCGCTTTTCCCATCCAACCAGCCACTTCTCCATTTCCCCACGCAGCCCCCATTGTGCTCAAACTTCTCCCTTCCTCTTATTCTCTCTTTGTATTTCCTTCTCCGTAACCTTTTCTTTTCCCCTTTCCCTTGAGGAGTGGCGGATCTACGAAGACATGGTTGGTGTCTTGAAGATCTTCTTTCGACGAAAGATGATGCAAGGTTTAGCACTCCAGAGACACCCGTTTTAGAAAGTAACTTTTTTGCTTCAGGATTGACACAGTTGGAAACTTGGAATGGTAAAGAATTTGTTCAAGCAAGAACATGATCTTAGTTTGTATTTCTGATAAACGTATTTTATATATTTATTTGGGCTCTAAAATATTGAGATTTTGTAACTCTCTTAATGGAATTATAGTCTAATTTATTATAATATATTATTAGATGAAACTCGATGAATGGAAGTGGAATTGAAAGAAAGAAACGAAAAATGGTGAAAAGGGGCAAGGTCCAAAGAATGGAGATTAAAGTGTAAATACTGAAAAATTGTGTGGAAACTCACGATGAAGATTTGAGAATGCTATGAGTCAGTTTGATACAATTAGAAGTCAAAAGGAGTTAAATATGATCAAAATATTTTCACAAATTAATTTTCAACCGCACAAGAATGTTCTAGCTAGATTTTCAGCTGAAAATTGAGACCTATTTTTGCCTAGTAAACATTCGAATTGGAAAACAGTTATTTCCGATAAAGTTGTAGCCCTTTGAGTTATCTTTACAACCCAATTTGAATCAACTAAATTAGATATCGAGAGAAAAAATTATGATAAAAATACTAAATGA